CATAGGTTGAAACTTTGTTGATCGCCTCATGCATTACTCCGACCGATCCGGTGAGGATCTCTGTGAAATTTTTTACGGTAATTCAACAAAATAAATTAACCTTCAATTAGTACAGATCCTCGCAAACTCCGTTGTTCAAGGCTCTTTTGCCGAAAAGCATATTCCACCCAATGTAAGACACCTTTTATCTGCTGAAAGTGGGGTAAACGATGGTAAGAACTGGCAAATATTTTTGTGGTTTCCGCTTATTGTATTCAGTTCGCACTTTCTATCCTTTAGGGATGGGTTTTCCTTTTCTCTTTTTTGCACTTTTTTTACTTGAGTCCAAAATTACTGCTACTGCTGTTTGTCAATGGATCTCTTTCGTTTGGGGATATCACATCTTACTTTCGATTGTCATCGGTATCGTGATAGGATGGGCGGCAAGGAAGTTATTGGGAATGGCTGAGAGTCGGTAACTATATTCAATCCACTATTATTACTTAAATTTTATCACTCAAGGAAATAGAAATAAATTAATCATCTGTTATTAAGAGATTGGATTGACAAAGAGTCTTTTTTAGTATTTGCATTTGCCCTAGCGGTAATTTCATTCTTTTTTTGATGTCATTTTTTTGTTCTTAATATTAAGCGACAAATTTTAACCTTTTACAAAGATTTTTGTCGTTGGTGGTGTAAGCATTATCGGATCGGATGCGTTATTGGCATGCTTTATGGCGGGAACTTCGTTTTCTTGGGAGTATGCAGTCATTTTTGTCTTCCTCTATTCTATCTAATATGTTGTCTTTTCATAAAGTCTGAGCCCCCAAGTTGATAATATTTGAATTATCCACAGCGATTGGTTTCGTGAGGAAACACAAGATGCACATTTACAAGATGTCATTGATTTACTACTTAACTTAACCATATTTATGTATATCGGAATGATACTTCCATGGTCTTCTTTTAATTCGGATGATATATCGCTCAAAAGCCTTATCACCATAAGCGTCCTTATTCTGGTTTTTAGGCGTTTACCGATTGTAATTTTATTCAAAGGATTCATTCCGTCTTTTCACACTTTCAAAGAAGCAGCATTCGCGGGTTATTTTGGACCAGTAGGAATTGGCGCAATATTCTTAGCTATGACTGTTGAAAAAGAAATTAGTATAAGACTAAATGAAGGATTAAATGATATTGATGAAGGATCCATGTTACGTATTCAGGAAATGACATTCCCAATTGTGACATTCATTGTTCTCAGCTCGGTAATCGTACATGGAATCACAGTTCCAATACTTAATATTGGTTCAAGGATTGATATCGAACGATTTCCCAGTATTGCTAGTATCAGCAGTCAGGTAGCAAGATTGCCAGTAATAGATTTTGTCGAAAGTTTAAGTTTGGAGAGAGACAACAAAGGTCGTGTGAGGAAGAAGGAAAAGATGAAGGCTGAGTATGCACCTAAAAATAGTGAAGAATTATATCAGGATGTTCACAATGTAGATATAGAAGAAGAGCAAAGTGAGGGAAATGGAGTTTATACATATAATCATATAGAAACAGATGTGTTGATTGAAAGTAACAAGGATGAGCAAAGTGACCAAGATAATGTGAATTCTGCCGATTATCATTGGCTGCAATCTAGTGAATGTTCAAGCAATGCACAATGCGACACAGATCATAATTAAGTTAACAAGCATCTAAATTTTGTAATAAGATATAATCTATATAATCTGCTAGATAAATAAACAGGCAGATCTTCTGTTCTAGACTCATTTCTTTTGCCTCCAGTTTGGCGTTATGTTTTTAATAGTGTTTCGGACGATTTCACAATATTTTGCACGGGTGAAATTGCTCTAAGCTGGCGAAATATTTCGGGGTTTTAAAAGTGCAAAACTACTATATATCAGTTAAACCAAAATTATTTTTTTAATGGTGAACCATTTTTCAGCTTTGGAAAGTAGTTTGGCCCGAAACGTTAACTATAGACAAATGAATCAGGTGGTTTTCTGTTCTTTAAAGACTTGTAAAAGTAAACTATATTGTTTATCGATTTCTTTCTTTCGATTAAGCACTACGTGCGATTATTTGGTAAGATGAGAATTTCTAGTTAATGTTTATCCGGATATTAATTTGGCAAAAAACAAGCTTTTGAATTTTATTAATAAAAAAGTATGTGGTTTTTTATATATTTTAGATATATTGTTTTTTAATACAAGTGTTATAATACTAGTATAAATTAATTAGAATAATAGATTTTATTTAAATTATTTTATTTAAATAAAATAATATTGAAGCATATTAATAGTATTTAATATTAAATGTTGCTAGCTTAATCTGGGTTTTATTTCAAAATATGAGGAAAGCATTCAACTTAGTTAATTTGAATATTAAAAAGCACTAAAAAAAATCAAGGTTTTAGAAACCTGTTACAAACTAATACAGAATTTATTTTTTGGCAGAAAGTTTAGATAATAGCATACAGGCTAATACAAGAAATTATAGCAGGAGTATAGAAATATTTTTGTTTTTGCTGTGAAGAATAATTTATAATTTTTTTTTAGATTATACTGTATATAAAAAAACAAAAAGTTAGAATATAAAATTAAGAGTACATTTATTCCTCACCCAGGGTGAGATTTGATATTACTCACCTCCTAAGATTATCCAATAAACATGCAAGATCAGGTGTAACGCGTGTAACATGTAAATCATCTCTGTGTAACAAAACAAAGACAATTTTTTTAAAAAATCGTTAATATTTTGCTATTTTCTTATGAAACCACTTTTTAGGTTCTAACAAAAAAGATTTTTTACATGATTTTACACATAATACACTTAACTTTAACCTGCTAACATCTTAGGTTTGATTATTTTTTTAAAAAAAAATGATGAGGGAGATGAATAATTCATCTGGGTGGTAAATAAATTATTTCTTGATAATATTATATGAATTGCAAGATCAAAAAATTAGTTACTGCAAATAATCCAAATAGCAAAGCAATTTTTTCAAATAAATAGTATAAAAATTAATACTGTAGTAGCAAGTTTAAGCTTATAATATTAAATTTAAATTTTTTTTTAAAAAAAAATCAAATAAAATATAATAAAATATTATACAAGTATTAAAAAAAGATTATATAAATTACAATTTTTAAAAATATTTTTTTGTATAACAAAAAAGATTATCAAAATTAAAAAAAAGTTGTTGGTTTATTTATATATTGGTAAAAAAAAAAAAGATTAAATCATATAATATATATATTCTATTCTATTTTTTTAAAAATAAGTATTTTTTAAAAAATAAGTACTGTATTTCTAGCTTGTATTATAAAATTTAATTAAAATTATAACTATTTTGGCCAATATTAAATACAAAAGGAAATACTTATTTTTAAAAAAATATAATAATTAATTAAATCAAGTTTTTTATATTACAAATATTAATAAAAATAGTAAAATATTATAAATAATTTTAATAATTGTAATTATAAAAACAAAATATTTTTAAATAATCTTTAATACTGTAATTATGACAATTTTTTTTTAATAATCTTTTATATTAATTTTTATAACAAAAATTTTTGACAAAAACAATAAATAATAATAATAAAAAAGAAATAAGACTAATTAAAACTATAAACTAATATTTATTATTTAGAGATAGCTTTTATATATTATTTGCTAATAAATATATAGTAAAGCTTATTACTTATTATAAAAACAGTACTTGTAAAGGTGTGGTGGTTTAGTGAAGTAGTCTAGTTGTTACTCTACCAAGTAGTAGATTCAAAGTTCAAATTTTACAGATGATGTTTTCAAAAAATAAATTTGTATATAATAACGATTATTTATTGATCAGTTGGATCTAGAATCTGTAATCTTGGTTGCACCATCTAATATGGAAGCCTTGTCATATAAATATCAAGAAACTGGGATGATTGAAATCTGTTTGAGAAAATTCAAGTAAGAAATAACTACAATCTTTGATAGTGTTATAGAAAAGACCTAATTTTAGAAGTTAAAACCAAGATTAAAGAATCTAATGACAACAAGATTCTTTAGTAGAGAGATTTACTAACTTAACCACCAATTTAAAAAAGTTAAAAATCTGTGAGGCCATTATAGAGTACATCAACCTTGGCTAGCCAATGTAAAAAACTAGTAGTAAAGGCTTTACTTACCAAGTAGAGTAAATAGAGTAAATAGTATAAGATCTCTGAGCATGCTCTAGAGGCATACATAGGAGACATGCCTCTAGGATATACCTTTAAGCCAAAAAACATGCCTTTATCATGTAATTATAGCAAGGATTATTACAAATATGATTGGTTAATATTAAAAATAGCAAATAATTTTTATATAGTTGTATTTTTAAGTATATACTTTCTAAGTACATAGTATATGAAAAACTTTTCTAAGTATACAATTCTTATAGTTTCAAAAAATTAATTGTTATAAATTTTAACTTTAATATATTAGTTTTTTTTTATTATAGTTCTAAGAGTATGCATATATAGAATATAAAAAAATTTTTAGTAATTTATATATTAGAGAGCATGCTCTGGAGTATAATAAAAAGAGTATACTTTTGCTTAGAGGTGTGCTCTTAAGGGCATGTTCCAAAATTTATCATATCTCCTACCCTACCATTAAGACTAGAAGTTATGAAAGTTAGATAGAAATCTAGTCATACTAGAGTAGGTAGTATGGCTAAAAAATTTTGTATGTTAGATAGTATACTATTTACTAAGGCTTGTACTAGATATGCTTTTAAACTATATAATAAATATATTTATTTTGATTGTTTAATTATAATACACATGTTGCATTATTATTCAGAATATTTTAGAACCTTACTCCAATTTTTTTTTAAAATTTGTTTTCTATTTGAAATATTTCAATATATATATATAAATGGTATAGCTATAGACTACTGTATTTGGGTTTTAGACATGCTATTGGCATACTACTATTGGCATACCATGTTGGTATGTCTGTAACCTCTGTGCCACTCACCCTAAGTCAGATAGAAAAATGCTAGGCGTGTTTAGAGGACTAGTTTACTAAATTAGAGAAAAAGAACATGTGCTAAAAAATTATATACCAAGATAAGATGAGATACTAGCATTTAAAGCCAAGCCAAAATTGAATCTTTTAGGTTATTAGTTGGAAGTAAGAGATAGACTAAAATAATAAAAAAAAAAAATCCTAATATGGGTACTAGGATTGAGAAGCAAATCTTATAAAAGCAAAAGCTGTTAAATAGGTAACAACCCAACTGCAAGTGAGAGTTTTAGCAACTACACAAAACCAGATTAGCCTAAATAGAATAGGAAAAGCTCTAGTAAGTTTATTTTGTAGATAGCTATGCATCTGCTTAATGAAGGAATGCAAACCAGTAATTAGTTAGTACAAACCCAGAATAAGTTATAAAGCAAAGTGTGCAATCTAGAAGAATAGACCAGATAATAGTTTTCAGGTTAGTATGATATTCTATAAAAATAGTTAGAATTAGAAGATTTAAATAGATAACTCTCTAGTTGAATTATAGATATAGTATCTAGTATAGAACCTGCAAGCAGACTACTTAAATAGGTATCTAAAAAGTGTACATATAGCTAGTCATATCTTTATTGTAACTATAATAGTAAATAATTGCTAGTAAAGAGTTTTCTATAGCCAAAGAGGTTATCTTAATATATATATATTTTTTTTTAAGTGATCCTGCCTTTATTTATGTGAACTGCTATAAAATTTATATACAATATACTAAATTTTTACAACTTATTGCTCTAAC